GATGTCGAGCAGAAATATATAATTAACACAATACGATTTAATGATGATGAGACCTTATCTACTACTGTTCACTTTTATACAGTCCAATTAATTTTACTACGCACACTTGCGGTACCGTATAATATATTAAGTGGATACGAGAGGAAAAACCGAAAATAGGAATTAAGCTTCCTCCACGGTTTACAAAAGGCATCTTGTTAATTACCAACACGATAAATTACAAGCTACTATCTACCCCATACGTCCAATCTGATAGCGACTACCAAAGCGCTGTCTATACTCTTGTAATTAGGAGATATCGCATAGTGCAGTGATATCGTCAGGTGCCGTCTCTCAAACCGGATCTTTGTGAGTCAATTAAACCGAGCTTTTGTAATTAGCGGTGCGGATAATTAAACAAATTGGTATACGATCAAGGCGCATTTGTCAATTTATATTTTTAATAATCCACCATTTTTTTTCAGATTGATAATACTTGAGAGTGTTTTGTCGCAGGAAGTGCAGAAAAATTGATTGACTTTAGAATAAGTTAATTCATTTAAACATTGGCGGCTGAGAATGCAAAAAAACCGACGTTTGTATTTTATCCGGTTTAAAATGCCAGGAACGTCGTCTAATTGTTTAGTAATGATAATTTTACCCCCTTACATAAAAAAACCGTAGAGCACTTATCCTACATTTTTATTTTCCGCAACTTGTCATAATTCTGGTCGTCGCCCCTTTGGTGAAACGGTTGGCGGATATCCACTCCAGGTGCAAATAGAACAACCTCAGGATGGTTGCGTAAAGACGAGCAAATACTTCTTTGATTAAGCGCGTGGACGCCCGCATTGTACTATTTCGACACGTGCGCGAACGTTACGTGCATAACATTTTTTTTATTGATTTTATTTATTTCACTGCTTCTCATTAGCAAATAAACAGAATATTATTTCACATCGGTTTGGAAAGGTAAAAAATTGTAGATATAGTATTTTTGGTCGATTGGGCCGTTGGGGAGAACTACAAAAGTGAATAATTTTACTTGAACTAACTTTAAGAATATGGGCTATAGCGGTAACGTCGCGCCTTAAGACATGCATAACAAATCATAGAGAGGTAGGTATATCGGTATATATCAATACTCAGGTTTCCGTTAAATATCATAAAGTAGCATATTAAAATTTTACTAGAGCAACTACTTCAAATACTTATATTAAGAATTCTTTATTATATACAGTGCTTTGAACATACAAATCTCCTATGTTCAATTCTGAAATATGCAAGTCAAATACCCTACTCCTTAAGATATGCAACCCATTTCACCTACTTTCATCTTTTTCAAATGGTTTTCAATAAACCTCAACATCTAAATTGTTTATTAAATTTTTATTGTATTCTTAATAAAATGTATAGAAATGAAGAAAAATGGAAATATTTCAGATATATCTCGATAATCGCCGGATTTATTTACGATAAGCAAATTCCGGCAGTTGGCACAATTTACAACAGCAAAAACTGTCATATTGATGGTTGTACATTGTTAATCAATAATACACCAGAAAACTTGCCGTAAAAATGAAGTTAAATATTTTAGCATCCGTAGAAGAAATCTAAACAAATCACGGTTCGTAAAGTAGCTAGAGAATTTGAAATTTCACATATGCCCTATTGAATTCGACAATTCACAGCAAATGAGTAAATTTGCAGTAACTAAAAAACCACTATAACCACTTTAAAAACAGTTTCACAGTTCATAAGTTTCTTTTGTTAACACTGTTGCCAAATAGGTAGGTATGTAAGGTATGTTGTATACTTACACGTTGGCATATCAATGCAATTGACCCCTATAACCGCTACATACAGGCATACCGTGAAATTTTTATAACATAATAATTACTATAATTGAAAGTTGGAAAGTGAGTATATTTCCTGGAAGGCTTTCAGTAGCTCATTTTCCTTCCTTGTAATCAATGAAGTCCCCAGAGCTACTCTCGTGTGATTGTATGATGCCAACCCTGATTTGAATTTGGATTTGTTTGTTTTTTTTGTTACTAGAAGAAGCATCTCGTATGCAGCTCTTATCAGCAGAACTATTTGAGAAAGATAAAATGGCGGATGTGATTTCTTCCTCTTTTATCTCAAGGCTGGCAACAGGCAAGATGGAATTGGTAAATCCGGGAAATCGATTGGTTCTGGATGAATCGAATCCTCGGAGGCCGTCACCATCCGATAATAATTATGCATTTTCAATCAATTGTTTCTCGTGCTGCACCTTTGACATTTCTTCAGATTTCATTTGTTGGGCTGCCCATAATTGAACACGTTCCTGCAATAAAACGTATAAATGTATAAAATGTGATATAAAACAGATTTCGTTTGCTAATTTAATTTTTAGTTTAATAAATGTTAATTTATTATACATTTTGTATGTGTATTGGTGTTCAATTTAGGAATTACAAATCAAATTTCCGAAATTTGAGTGAAATTATGGAAATAAATTCTAATTTAAACACGGCATAAGTATATTGTAAGTGTGTCAGATCACATTCCCTGTCAACAAATCTCGTTTTGCCGTAGGTCAAGAAAAAACATCAAACCAGATTGTAAAAGATTGAGAATTAATCCCCGTGCAGATCGATACAGCTGGATTGAGTAATAATCTTCTCTTTTATTTGTTTTTATTATTTTTCATTCTTACTGTAAGTATATTGTTGTAATTTTCTCCTCTTGTGGACTCAAGACGACGACTAAAAATCGCTATTTTAATGTAGCGTTCATGGTAATACGTCGTCGTGTAATTACTCATATTCACCCTATTAGGATAAACGTCAATTTACTTGTTCAGTTGAAAAAGAGCTGTCTTCGGCGGTCTTTGTTGAAAGAAATATGGATCCATACAAAAATCATAATGGCAGGGCAGCTTGCAAATGAACAATTCCGTTCACTCGATTATACAAAGTGGTTTACAGTTCGTGCTCATTAGGGCCCTGCAATCTACTGGTGATAGTGCCAGTTGCCAGTCAAATAAAATAGCGCCGTCAACTTTTTCTACAGCCTCTATAGCCTTCGGTAGTCTGTTACGGATTTTAATGTATTAAACGTATTTGTGTGCTTTCTTTTGAAAATCAAGGGTTGCAAGCGAAAACAAGGAACTTTTTCGCTACTTGGAGGTTTCAGAAAATTCCACATGCTCCTCTAGGTTTAACACTTCAAGTGTACGTGTACTATCTAGATCGCCTTAAAAAATACTCCAAGGGGACCGACCTTCGCTCTTTTGGTGACAAAAAGTAATTGGTCTGCGAGTCGGACCTGTTACATTCGTACTTATAAGTATTGAACGTGACCATACAAGTATACAGGGTGGTGACTTGATTAACGCGTCATAGGGATTTCAATGTAAAATTCATAACATGCGATTATTATTATTATTATTATAACAAATCAATATCATCGTGCATACTATGGTACGTTGAAAAGTGACACTACCTCCCGGACTATAAAATACGGATCAATTCCAATTTTTTAACTACCAATAATTGGTGTTCAAGTTGGTCCTCCTCTATTCTCAAATTAATTATGACTCGCTTTATGACTTTGGAAACCTGTCACTCATTGTAATGAAATTTCGCCGCTCAATAAATCCACTGTTCCTGGCTTTTTTCTTTAAATTTTGCCAAACATTTCTTCCGATATTACGCTCACTTAAGTTCCGGTATCGTTTAAAATTGAATGCATCAACTCCTCCAAGCGTTCTATAATAATGGTATGGCATCCGGCAAACCTTTCTTCTTTTTTGGTCTCTTCGGCACTCTCTTCCCCAACCGCCCAATGAGGTTTTCTAATCTCCCTCATTTGACATCTTGGGGTATAACTTCTGTTGCGTTCTGTTCTCCTTTGGATTCTTGCAAGGTCTCATTACTATCCTCACTTTCTTGTTTGGTAGTTTGTTATAGTTGTTATATACATACATCTACATGCACCCAGTCGCTTAATTACATTGAATTAATTTACCTTCTGCTGTCGGAGTTTTCATGATTTTCCCTTCTTTATTTCTCCCATTTCCATTGTTCCTTGCACTTTCCTCATTCCTCAGGTGCTTTACCTTTCTGCCTCAACTTTTTCCAAGTGTTAAACTATGTGACCTTCAATGCGGTCTTAGTTTTCCCCAGCCCAAAGTATTAAGACGTAGCTTTACAAATATGAATAGTCTCAAACTCCACAAGCCTACTTGCCTTTCGTCGGCGCGTTTAGATTATTGTCATTGGCATTCATATATTATCCTCGCCATTAGAGATTGCCGGTACGTCATAAGTAAATGATTCTAGCTATCCAAAACTTTTATAGTAAAGTCACATGAAAAACAGCACATCAAATAAAGACAGTGAATATTCGAAGTGCATTTGAAGGAAACGAAGTGAGTTATTGAATGAGATAATGTGGTAGAAAGAGAAAAAACAAAAACGAATAACTAATGCGTTTTGTAAACCGTATGAATTCAATCAGTTTTTTTGAGAACTAATCCGTCACTTACGTGTATCCTATTAATCACTTTAAACTCTCTCTACGAATTCCCATGTCTGCAAAGGGTAAAACTTTGCATGCACAAGCACAACAGCTTGTGTTAAACTTAGTGCAATATTTTAAGAAGGAGAAAGAAAACGGTGATCCATTGAAACCCGTATCTGCTGTTCAAGAAGTAAGTGTGATTATATATACTTATATTTTCATTTAGTACAAACACAAAATTATAGCGAATGGCCAACGATTTGGGTATATCTGAGAGGACGGTGCGAAGCATCAAGACAAGGGCGGCATCTAACCCTGTTTTGGAAAGCCCGGGTAAGAAACGGCCCCGCAAGTTTCGTTAAAACATTTCTACACACGTTCTATACTGCGTAGGGTAGAAGGAAGATCAACATCAGGATCCAGTTGAGAGGCTGCTTATTTCTCATTTCTGATTCCTAGTAATCTAACACTGTGTTAAAAATGTAAAAAAAAGTATAAATATGAAATAGAAATACAGTGATAGTGACAGCGTCGTATATTATAATATATTTTGAACATAATTAATATCCATTTAGTGTATCATTTTGAATTTATCCTTATTGTAAGCCATCATAAGTAACAGTGAGTAACTTTGAAACGTGGTAGTCTTGCAAAATGTGCAGCTGGGTGTATGGAAATCGAATAACCTATGAATTGAATACTCTAATTGTAAATTTATAATTCTTTATCGGCAAACTCACTTATGAATGCAAGACCCGACCATTGTAATAATTCTGACGTAGCGTAATTACTAAATGTTCACATTTTTGGAAAAATTCCATTGTAATGAGGCAGCTTACAAAAATGGGTTTATCTTCCCAATGGCCTGTAAAAATAACGCATTAATGACCTGTTAGATTACAAGGATTTCGTTTTCTCACCGTCTTTATTACGTTAATAACGAAACTACGATATTTTATACCAATTAAAAACCAAAATCGACTAACGATACTTTCTGCGATTTGACAGTTTTGCACCTTCAAATAAACATCCAATAAATGACAGCTGTCGCCACCTCGGAGTATATTTTCTAATCAAGTTGGCATTATTACGGAAGTAATTTGACTCATATTTTTCATATTAAACCATACGATTGTGAACTATGACGTACCGGCAATCTCTAATGGCGAGGATAATATCTATAAATCCGGAGGTCGGGTGTTCGAACCTGGTTTGAGGTGAATTTTTCATCTGTGGTAGAGATGGGAATTTCCTTAGATCAGTTTCGAGCATTCTGCCGGCTACTCCGAATTAGGTTTTCCTGCAGTTTTCCTAATTCTTAAGGTAAATACCGGAGTAGAATAGAACAACTTAAGACCTTCTGCAGGGGCACCTCTAAAAAGCATTATGCGGGTCACTCTGTAATTGGGCGTAAGCCTGTTGAGGGCCTAGAACAAGAGGAGCAATAAATAAATAAGTAAATAAATATCTAATTAAGATACTAGTGATCGTCGTCGTTCGTTTAATCGTTATAGCTGCCACGCGGGCGGCCAGGGTTCGATTTCCGATTGAGGCAAACTTTTTTTTTTAAATTCTATATTTGGTATATTTATACCATTTGTATATTTCGCCAGATTAATGCTAATTGTTGACATTGTGACACAGGCCCGTAGGGAAAGAAAAACGTAATACCGTAAACATTTTGACATGGGGGAGGTTTTGGTTTTGCAATGCCAAGGACTGCTCATGATTTAGACCAGTTCTCGTATATCTATGTTTCGGTAGGAGGAATTTTTGGAATTCATTACTTGTAGGTCCGTGTGCCGAAATTTCGACGTCGACGGTTTTTCGATTACAAAAAATCTATAACAAGGTTCTCGCTATCAAAAAATTGTGGTGCGTTGTTTTTCAATAAAAAAAATAAATGCATCCCTTTTCTTCTAAGGAATCAGAAATGTGTGCTAATATACCTCACTTACAGGAAGGTTAAGCTGTCATCTTTTGCACTCAGTGGAATCTGTAGATGCATATTCGTTAAGGAATGAAATTTCCAATAAAGCTGTTAAAAATAATTCGCTCTTGTAATTTTCAATTAATAATGCATTTAAACTTCGGCGGGTTAATCAATTGGCAGACAAGCGACATGCAGTAATGCGAGAGATAATCGTATTATGTTTAATAATCCAGCGGCAACTATTGCGGTCAATTAGTTCATACTCTTAATGAGAAATTATGGCAAAACCTTTCTAAACGGAACCAGATATTAACGCAGTAGGGGAAAAGAAATCCAAAGAAGTTTAAGTAATAGCATGCAGTTAATGGGACATTATTTGCAGTATTTTTAGCATTCGTACTCGCATTTTTCGAAATTTAATCGATCCATAACGCAGTTTAATTAAGGAGACAAACGACCATTTCGATCGGTCTTCAAGGCACTATCTAAAGCGAAATCAGTTCATTTAATAATTAAGATAAGCTATAGAAAACGTAAACATAACTAATTAGTAAAATATCGTTCTTTTACAGTTCTTATAACTGAACGGATCATTAAGACTTAATTTATAAATTAAAATTCTATTTGCAAATCGATCCGCTTCTGCGTAAGTGAATTCTGCACTAAAAGCGCCTTCTTGATGCGTATTCGTTTCAAGTTCGATCAAATCAATATAACCGTTGGTGGATGTAAAGAAGTGGGTATCTTAAACTGACGCAATTTTAAGGGATAATTTATTTTTATTAATTCACAACAATGGCCACCAAACATGTCCTATCTAACACGATCAGCTACAAACAGTCAAAAGAATAAGTCGGAGTTACTACTGTAAATACCGATAACATCTTTTAAACACTGGAGATCTCGTTAAAGCTCTGCAGCTTGTACTTTCTTCGCATTTAAAGGGTTAAGCAACCCCAATTGTAGTAATAACGACGGTTATAGATATAGATCTTATTATACTCACACGCCCGGCACTAATTGCTCAGTTTCAATTATAATTTTGGATATCGTAATTATACTCAATTTTTCTTTAAATTTTCGGAGCAATTAGTATGTAGGTAGGGTGTTTCTATATGTATTTTGATTTTGGTGTAAAATTGCGTAAAAGTCCAGGTGAAACTGTATTGGGGTTACATTCTTTGCGTGTGAACGGGTGGTCCAAAGTGCTTATCTGCAATCGACTCTGTGGGACACCACTTTGGTTACGTCAATTTAGGGGATGCAATTTTATTCGATTTGCTTTCTGTCTGAGTTTTCATGAGAAACGATTGTTTTATGGAAATTTTAGTTTACCGTTATACAAGCTTCTTTGGAAATCGCGATTTAGCCATACGAACCTTATCCATGCGGACATCTAGAATCTTGATCATATACGAAACATCTACAAAAGACGATGGAATATATGTAATAATTATGATGGCTCTGTCGCGTTATTATAACAGAATCGCGAAATTGTTGCTAGTCTGTCTCTGTCTCTGTCGGTTTGTCATGACGGCTGAATCATTGTAAATCAACAAAAAAGGTGCTCTTCTTTATTTAGTACTTCGTTCAGAACGATCGAGAGATTTGTACCACGGTGACTTTCATTACAATTTATTAGATGCACACTTGTACTTTTTTGGGTGTAGCAGCATAAAATGGGACTTTAAGAATATGTAATAAAAATAGTGGTTGCTATACCCCCTTGACCATACAGAAGGACGCCACTGCTCACAAATTTAAAGTACGTATGTTGGTAGAAAACTTTTTATAATTTTGGATACCACAAAATCTTTAAAAATGTTGTTTTGAAGATATATTCTCTTCCAGTCAAAATTTCCACCATGTATAATATAACACAATAAAATAATGTATTTACTGGTTAAAAGTAACGACCTAAACCATAAACTAATCAAATTTCTAGTTCGTTTCACTAACAAAAAAATAACCACCTAATAACGCAACCCGGTGCCGCATTTCATTAGTTGATCCGACCGATTGCGTAATTTTGCAATCGCTTGAAATTTCTAATTTCTAAGAAAATGCCAAACCTTCCTTACAAGAATTTCCATCAATTGATTTCTCTTTGTTCGACGACCTTTTTAGAGACTCTAGTTGTCAGTTTGGAGGATTTTCGCTAAAGTTTCTCTTAAACTTTCTAGATACCAATTTCTTCTAAAATTCCTAACAATTTAAGGTTTCCTCAAATTACTTTCATTCTCACTTTTCAACTTCTTCAATCTCTCTTTCAGGTTTCAAGTATTTCCATGTTTCTCTCAAGTTTTCCTAAAGTTCCTATACACTCCTTTTCGTCAATTCCCTTTAAGTTTCTCTCAGTTTCTTCTTAAAACTCTCTCAATTTCTTTCAAGTTTCTCTCAAACTGCTTTCAAAGTTATATTCTTAATTTCTTTAGATGATTCCGTTGAAAATTTCCATAAGGTCCCCTCGAATCCCTCTCAAGCTCCTATGAAGCGTCTTTTAGGGTCTTCCGAAACTCTTTACTTAAATTGCTATCAGGTTCTCAAAATCTCCATACGGGTTCCATCAACTTTCTTATCGAACAAAGGTCTACATTTAATCTAAATAAAGACGGACCCTAGGATGAACTATCTGTAGCGTAAGCAATCTTTCTCTTAAACATAAAAAAATTACAAACTAAAATAATGCGTGGTATCACAGCCATACACATTTTAAGTTTTGACAATCGTCGAAAATATTGATCAAAACAGGAAGGCTACGAAATTTGGTTACTGCCTATCAAAGCATGCGTTCTTTTCATTTTTCAAAAAAGATTTGTGAATAAATTTCGATTTGGCACAAACTTAATGGTTACGAAATAGCAGATACGAGGACCCAGTGTAGCTAATATTAGATGGAAGTTTATGTCGACGGACTTATTTTACAATCTCGAAATGTATCCGTGATTTAGTTTAACAGTGAGACCTCTGGTGGTAGCACATTCACATTACTATTGGTGGTGTAATACCGCCATTCTGTTCATTTACAATGGCCCAAAGTAATCAATATTATAGTTTTTACGGCTGTAAAAGTTAATACATTTGCAAAAATTACATTTGCAGTCAATGTAATATTACACTTCAAAGAGCGAGGATAGTTTAAACGTTTAAAAGTCACGTTTTATCACGTTACTTTCAAGAATTTTAAATGTGATCAGTGTAATTATGTAACCAACAATAAGGATAATTTAAGAAATCGTAGTGTAACGCATAATATTTCCAAAGTCTTTAATTGTGAACAGTGCAATTACAGAACAAAAAATAGGAGATATATACGTCATTCCTTGACACACTCCGTTTTGAATAATTTTCTATCATTGTCATCAATGCAATTACGCCACAATTAAGCGTTCGCTTAAAGTGTCACCTATTAACACACACAACCTTCTCAAACATTTGATTTGCGAACAGTGTAATTCCGCTACTCACGATAATTTAAAGCGGAATATTCACATTAAAGGATGTTACGTGCACTCTGTGCGATTACGCATGCCACAACTAGTAAGAAAAATGATCAAAGTCCTCGTGTGAGATCGAAGGGACTTCAGCGCATTTTTGTGTGGCAGATCAGTGTTTTATTAGCCAATATTGACTCCACCATCAATAAGATCTTGCGGAAAGCTACCACGTTCACTTTGTCGGTACCATTTTCTCACTTACCGTGCACTCGCAATTCGCGTTTGAAGTTTTGACTCCACCATCAGTAAAATCCTTTGGGGGTTACCATATTCCCTTTGTCGACACCCACTTCTGATCACCCGCAACAATTCGGATTTGAAGTTTCGACTCCACCATCAGTAAGATCTCGTCGGGGGTTACCACATTCCCTTTGTCGATACACAGTTCCGACGTCCCGTTCATTCGTAATTCACATTTTGGTAGATTT